ACCTGGTTACCTTTTGATTTTTCTTTTTTCAAGGTAAATTTTGTATGTAGAATTTTGAACTTATGAAGTTGATAGAGAAGGAAATGAATGTGTTTTACATGAACCTGAAGAAATATTCAAGATGGAATATTTCTACGTGATCATTCCTGTTAATTGATCTGTCTTGCTTTATTTGATATCATAAAAGTCTAGACTAAAAGAATTTAGAAAACTCTTAAATGTGTAGTCAAACAGACATTCTTATGTCCTGGGAAAGGACAGCGAGGGATAGAGTGAAGAAAAGCAGGGATGAGAACTGGTAATGAGACCAAAAAAGGGAAAATGAATTCCTGAGGAAGGCCAGTAAATCTCAGGAGGTTTGCTGTTACCCATGAACTGAAATATTCCAAATGCTACAGTGACAACCATGCTTCACCCCTTTCTCATCAAGAGATCTTTTCGAAATCTGTCTAGAGCTTTAACTTTTGTTTTCAGGGAAATATTTTCCCTTCCCCCCATCTCCCTGCCTCTGGCTTCTTCCCTTCTTACCTTTGTCTTCTTAACCCTCTCCCTTTCTCCTTCTTTCTTTTTCTCCCTTCCTTCCTCATTTCCTCCCTTCCTTCCTCCCTTCCTCTGTGTCAGGTGTTGTTCTAAGTCCTGAAAAGACATAATGCAACAACCGATGAGGTCTATGACTAGCTCCATGTTGAAGATAACTGACATCAAGGCAAAAGGCAACTGGCATAAAGAGGTTAAATAATTCTCCCAGCGGGACTCGGAGCAGACAGTTGGGAATGACTCCAGGGGCTCTGATCGTGTCACTCTTCTACCCAGTTGCCTTCCATGCTTTCTTGTTGCCTATACATTGCATAAAGCTCCTTGAGAGATGGCCCTGTACAACAAAAGACCCCAACCTGTCTCCTCATATATATTTATCTCTTGCCCCTTCCTTCCATGAAGGTCCCCATATTATAGCATCATCAGAATACACACTCTTTCTCAAACACAAATGGGCTTTTATAACTCCATGATGCATGTTTTTTATTTAACACCCTGCTTGCTTTGTCATATCCTTCATTGCCTAAAACTCCTACTCATCCTTCAGAACCCACACCACCTTTTCTGTGAAACCTCTCCTGACACTCAAAGCCTGAATTAGATCCTACTCACTCTGGATGCCCACAGGGAAATGCTCATATTTCCAGTATAGCATTTATTAGATTGTACTGGATTATTCATACATATGTCTCACTCACTAGACTCTGAAGTCCCAAGTGGAAGCAATGGGAGGGACCTTACTCACTGACAAACCCGGTGCTGGCCACCTAGTATGAGTTCACTGTAATGAGGGATATATATTACACAGAAATGCATCATTGATGTGTAACCTATATGTCATGATATCAGTAGTATTGACCTTAAATATAAATGTTTTACAACTATATATATATTACTAATATAAACAAATGTTTCATATGAAAATATGACTATAAAATATAAAGTTTTGTTCTTCAGTTTCTAAAAATCGAGAGCTCTAAATTAGTGATTTAAACACATCTCAACTTAGGAGAATGTGACATGTACTTTTCAAACGTACTTCTATTCAGTAAAGTAACACACATTTTCAGACACACACATCATACAAGGCAATCTTGTCTGTGAATATCTTCAGATTTCTTTCATTGTATACAACTTTGGGTTAAGAATCTTTTTTTCTCTCTGTAGTTTACTCATATTTATAAGGAATAAGTGTTCTATTGATAAAATCAATACAAATTTAGGAGTTTAATGACCATGTTACAGGAATTGTCACTATTAGCTCCAACTTTGTCCAACATTATATGACATAGTATATATAAGTATACACTTTATATGGTCCTACATATGTTGACCCTCACCAGTTTCTAACGTCCTTCACTTATTTCTAAATTCAAGCATATCCCTTTTGATGATGTCATTTGGGTGTTAAAATATTTTAAATGATGTATAAATACACATACATATATATGTGTTTATGTGTTGCATGTGTGTGAATATTTATTCACTGTCTATATAGTCATTCTCATATATATAGTGTATACATATATATAGCATACATACATTATGTATATAGTCCATATATATATATATATATATATATATATATATATATATATATACTATATATATATGGAGAGAAAGAGAGTGAGAAGGAGAGAAAGACACCATACACACACACACTATATGGTCCACTACAGCCCACTATTAATATATAGTTTTCTTGTCCTTTGAGGCCAGCTAATGATTTCCATCTAATGAGGCTGAATGGTGCAGCTGAACATTCTGGACTAAAGAACACTGACACAGCTACCAAACTGCAAATGCTCTTAGCCAGTGAGCGCTGCGTCATGAAATCCTGGGTCGAGTGTGTTCTGCAAATTGTGTTGTTTACTCTGTTCCATCCGTCTTGTCATTTATTTTGTGCTCTGGTGAACAATTTTGTGTCATAATGACTGACAAATTGTGCCCGAGATAGAGCTGGATCTGTCATAAAGAAACAAAGAAGGAGTGTTAAGCTGGAAGTTAAAATGGACTGTTTTCCCATGGCCTGAAGGGTTTTTCAAGGACCCAGAGACCATGTTAAAGATGAGCTGGCCATTAGGAGCTGGTTCACATATTTGGACTTTGGCAAGGTTATTTTACACAACCCTTCAACAAGGGAAAATTGACCTGGAGGGTCAGGTGTGTCAAGATCGAAAGGCTTTGAAGAGCAATGTGATCGGCAGGGCTGCCCCTCCAAAGGGATTTTGTTCAAATGGCTCCTACTTTGTCGACCCAGGTGTCCTGGGTCCCTCTGTTCCATCAGCCCTCCCACCCCTCTACTCTCTAGTTAAACAAAGTGTGCCATCTGTATTTAGTTATTTTTATTTATTTTTAATCAGATTTATTGGGTTGACATTGGCTCTTGAAATTAACTTCTTAATCTCATCTTTATTCAACTGAGATATGCTAGGTTTGGGCTTTATGTTTCCTCCTGTTTTTACTAGCCTTTTCTTAAGTGAGAAAGATAGTTGTGATTTCCTTTCATTTGAAACATTTTTTTGTCTTAAATAGATGTGGATGAAAAAGAGACCACATACTAAATTTGCAGTCCTGCACAGTGGCCTTTCAAACCCGGAGTCCAACAGTAACCACGCAGGAAAGCCCAAACGTAGAAATTCCTAACTGAAAGTGGGTACAGTCGTAGCCACTTCCTGGGTCTTTAATTTCCCTGACACAGGTCAATCTTTACCTTCCACATTGCCTATTGTTTTTGAGCATCTAAGATAACATACATTTGAAATGTCAGAGTCATTTTCTTTTCTAGCCCCACTGAAGGTACAACCACGGGTAGCCGAGCAGGACACCATGTTGCTGTCTTGTTCCCCGCACACCACCCCTATGTGCTGTAAATATTAACTCTCTTATGCTCAACAGTGTAAAAGAAGTATCTCTCCATCCTGCTTTTTACCCAATCCCAGAGATTTCCTGCTTTGCTTTCTCCTGCCCCCTTAATATACCACCAGTGGATTTCATGCGACCCTTCTTACATCTCCTCTGTTGATTCTAACGTATAAAATAAGCTGCAAAACTGCCATTCTCCAGAGCAGTTTCTAAATCTGTTGAGATTTTGCTTCCCGGAAATTATTGTCATTTCAGCTCAGATGAACTTTTTCTTAGGCTGAACATTCTTTTGTCAACATAGAGAACCATAGACTCAGCAGCTGAACATTAGAACCCATATCTGGCTTTTCAGCTGGATTTGACATCTTCCAGTAATTCGCCAAAATGACTAACACAAAGGGAAAGAGCAGAGGCACCTGTTACATGTTCTCTAGGTCTTTGAGGAAACGTGGAGTTGTTTCTTCAGCCACGTACATGTGAATCTATAAGAAAGGTGATATTGTAGACATCAAGGGAATGGGCACTGTTCAAAAAGGAATGCCCCCGGATGTTACCATGTCAAAACTGGAAGAGTCTAGAGTGTCACCCAGCATGCGGTGGGCACTGTTGTGAACAAACAAGTTAAGGGCAAGATTCTTGCAGAGAATTAATGTACGTATTGAACCTATTAAGCACTGTAAGAGCCGAGATAGCTTCCTGAAACGTGTGAGGAACATCATCAGAAAAAGAAGGAAGCCAAAGAGAAAGGTACCTAATTTCAGTGGAAGTATTAGCCTGCTCCACCCAGAGAAGCACAGTGAGAACCAATGGAAGGGAGCCTGAGCTGTGGGAGCCCATTCCCTGTGAATTCATGGCATGACAAGTGTTAAAAAATAAAAGATCTTTGTACTGATTTACAAAAAGAAAACATATCTGGGGGCAGGAAAGATCACCCAAAGTCTGAAAAGGTCCTCAGTACTTCTAATGCTCAGCAAGGATTAAGGATCACGCTCAGTAGAAGACTGATATCTGTTCTCTAAGGTGTGGATATTTCACTTGGAATGCTTTTTCAAACTTCTGAAAAAACCTACCCAGGTGATTGATTATTTTACACTATTTCTCTCTCCCCCAATTGGGAATTCGCTTTCAGGTGAACCCAGATAATGGTATCTGACAATTTGGCCCAGAATGCTCAGGTGGGAGGGGCATCCTATGAGGACTGTGGGTTCCGGTGCTCATTCAGAGAATAAGTACTTATTGAGTATGCATGGAATAACTCCTCTACACCAATCTTATCTTTTCCCTTGAATATTGAATGAGAGTTGCTTTTTAAGAAAATTAAAGGTGATTCACTTACAGGCCAGATCTTCTGTATTTGACAAGAAGTGATGGGTGAGGATCCAGGCAGCTGTGTGGACTTAGGGAAATCAGGAAAGCTAGGAGCTATAAAAGGGCAGCTTCCTTGCACTGTAGTGGGTGTTGTACACAGGTACTTCTGCAATGATTAACCAGAGTCTGGACTGACGTCAGATGAAGCAAAAGAAAAGCCAGCAGTTGTGAAGCTTCTGCACTGGTTTCTACTCCAGAGTCTTATAGAAAATGCTTGTTTTTCTCCATAGGTTCGAACCAGTGTCCTACCTGAACATAAGGATCCCCTGCCAGAGATTGGGGTAAGTGCTTCTTTTGTTTCCAAAAAGCACAACACATTGCTTTTAAGTTAATCATTTGGATTTTTCCCTGGCCTCCTGCCTGGCAGCTGACAAATGAAATCGGGTTAAATTAACAGGGTGTGACTATAGGAGGAAGCTGTGTCACATATTTGCTGAATTGCATGGGATTCATTTCTTGTCTCCTGAAAATCATCCTCCAGTGAATCAATATTTAGTTTTCAGCTGGCTAGAGAGGAGTCTAGAAATTGCCTTGCAGGTTGCTGAGATGCAATTCTGAGCTAATGTTCCTAGGCCACCGGGAGGCTAGGGAAGTGGTAGATGTGAGCTCTACCTCTTCAGGAAGGAGGCAGAGAACCAATCAGCCACAGAACTGTGGTGCTTTGTTTCCTGCTGCTTAAACATGTCAAAACAGTAGTGTAGGTCAAATAGAGGCTGCCACCTATGTGCAGTCCAGTGTTGAAAATCCTGCTGAGGATTTCCTGCTGTGTGGGAATCATTGCACCTCCGGCTTTTGGAAGCTGGGAAAGCAAGATGGTCATAGGTGATTTTTGCTTAGACAAGGCTAGACTTGGCACTGGTAGCTCCTGAAAAGAAAGTTTAGCAGGCTGAGAGGGATCTGTGCATTCAGAGAAGGGGGAAAAGTCCAGAAATGTTTGGTCTAGGAGGTCCTGGGGCCTAGCCAACTGCAGGCCTATTGAAATACCCTGAAATCCTACAGGTAATTGACAACCTTCTCCAGACCACTGTGTGGAGCACCGTACTAGGAACACTCATTTCCTCCTTGGCAACAGCCAACATCTGAACCTGCCAAGGCAGCCTTTCAAAAATATGCACCAAAGTGTAAGTTGAATTGATTGAGAAGAATGCCAGTCATCTCTGAATCTGGTAGAATGGAAGGAAAGGGTACTTGGTGCTCTCTCATGCTTAACACAAGCTTCTAGTTTCTTCTTAGGGACTGGTTGAATGCCTCTGACGCAAGGGAATCTCTGTGCTTTGTTTTCTGCCTTCACCTCTTGGGCTGCTCTCATTTTTAGTACCAGTCTCTGTGCCCAGACTACAAGGGCTTCATTTAGTCTCTCCAAAGGGACTAGCAACTTCTTCCCAGCCTCAGCCTTCATTGCTCAGGCCACATGCCTTCCTCCCTTCCCAGAGCTGAGGTCAGGCACCTTTTGTCTATGACCACCCCAGGTGCCCTCCTTCAAGCTAGGTCCCCTACTGCATGCTATCATCACACCCTTTACATGTCCTTCATCAAATGTAAGACCTTGTGGAATTTGTAACTGTTAATGAGTTAGTAATTATTTTATAAGGAATTCCATTTATTTTCTGAGGTTCAAGACGAGATGGTTTAACTCTTTTCTCCTCTAACTGCCCACTCCTCAACCATGCTGTGTTAAATCTCCCTCACCTGAAGCTTTAATGCTATCTTGACCTAATTATGTGAGTTTTTCCGTTATTTTTTTCTCAACCCGGTTCTTGTAATGCATCTTACTCATTTTAAAACTTGAGTCCCTTCTCTGATTTTAAATTATTATCTTCCATTCTCTCCTGCCACCATTTTCCATTACAGGCTGGATATCTCTGTGCCTCTCGCAACTTGTGGCAGAGGGAGAGAATAGTCTGATTCTCACACATGCTCTGCCCTTTCCTGCTCTCGCTGCTCAGTGCTGTAGTGAGGGGAGAGGAAAGGGGACAGGCTCCTTTGTGCTTGTCCGTGGTGAGGGTGACAGTCCCTTTCTGCTGGTTTTGATGTTCTTCAGGCTAACGCTGCCTGTCAGAGCCCTCTGTGTGGCAGATAATTGAAATGCTGGCTCTCCTGTGAGCACAGATATAGGTATGTTGTCTTTTTTCAGCGTGAATAGTTCATGTATCCACTTTCCTTTCCTGTGGGGTTGACAGTGAGAAAAAAGTACCTGGGCTCTGAAAAAGGACCTGTCCTTTAGGTTATGTGAGGGAAGATGTTGTGTACCAGCCTCATGATATCTTCTGCTCTTCAAAGACCTCTGCAAACTTACACCACGGTTCCTGAACGTAGTTTTATAAGAATAGGTCAAAGCATTATCGCTCTTTCTATTTAACTTCTAAACCAGCACTATTCAGCAGAAGTACAATGTGTACTACAAATGTAGTTTTAAACTTCTGAGTAGCCCAGGCTTTTAAAAAAGTGAAAAGAAACAGGTGAGATTCATTTTAATATTTCATTTAACCTAATACTATAGGCAAAATATAACATTTCAAAATCTAATCCGTATGATTCATTATAAATAAGTTGTTAGTCACACTCCTTTTTTTCGTGCTACATTTTATAAATTTAATGTGTATTTTACACATCTCAATTTAGCACATAGAGCACATCTCAATTTAGAGCTAAAGCTCAAGCCGGGGCTCAAGCTAAGACTGTGCATTGGATAGTGCAGCTCTACACAGTACTTGAAAAATCTTGGGAGGTCCATGAAAATATTAGCATAAGGGTACCCTGTACTTTGGGTAAAGGTTTAGTGAGATGACCATATCTGATGGGGATTTGCCCAGCTCATGGCCATGTGCATGGGGCTATACATCCTCTGGCTCCTTATGCAGCAGTGCTCAAGCAGGGGACCGTCGAGGACCTGCTCTGGGGAGGTATACAACCCCGCTGAGCATTCAGGATATCTGTGACTCGCTCAGAGTCCCTGCAAGGGCTGGTGAGATAAGCTGTTTATTTGGATAGCCCCCATGGAGAGTAGCCAGCGACTGAGACAGGTGACTTCCTTTTTCCACCCTGCTTGATATCACACTCTCCAGCCAGGTGAGTGATTGAAATCGTGCATGAAGCCATTTAATGATCATCTGCTTGGGATGCCTGGACCGAATGATCATTGTGAGTGTTGCGCTGTCATGAGCAGGCTAGAAAGGTCGGAGCTGTGGGTGGCGCAGGCAGAACGCCTGACAGAAAGAAAGGAGATTGCCACCTGTCTTGGAAATGAGGCACAGTGTGATGGGGATGAAAGAATGCTGGACCAAAAAGCAAGAAACCTGGACTGGAACTTGGCCTCTGCATATTAACTAGGTCTATGATCAGGTCGAAGCAGTTAACTCCTTTAGGCCCCAGTTTCTTCATCTGTAGACTGGCAATGTCTTAACAAGCCTTGACATTCCTTGATTCCAGGTGGGCATTTCTTGGGCCCTGATGAACATTCCACATAATCTGATAAAAATTTGAGCTATAAGGAAGCACTTTTTATATAGAAATTATTTTTTAATTTATATTTTTCTGAATCTATTTTTATTTTTAAACACACACACACATATATATATATATATATATATACACATATATATGTATTTTATTGCAGGAATTTCTCATAGACTATATGAGAAAGTACATATATATATACACTATTTAAATACTCTGACTTTTCCAAAAAGTATTTAAGGTAGACTTATAACACTTTTAAGCCATCTGCCTTTTGAGCGTATTATCTTTAAGGAGGGAGAGAGATATAGAGACAGACAAAGAGAGAAACATCCATATGAGAGAGAAACATCAATCAGTTGCCTCTCTTATGAGCCCTGAAAGGGGGTTAAACCTGCAACCTTTTGGTGTGCAGGTTGATGCTCCAACCAACTGAGCATCCCAGCCAGGGTCTGAGTGCATTATCTTAATCTCTGTGCAAGCTAATATTATGGAATACTTCCTCTTTCTCAGCAATGCACTAAGTGCTTTTCCTGGGTAACTTTGACTCTAATAACAATAACTATGAGAAAGGTATACAGTGATCATATGCACCTTTTTCGTACAGAAACTAAGGCCTACAATGGTGGAGTAAAGTGTCCAAGACCACAGGTTTGTAAGAGAGGAGACAGAGAAATGAGACCTGGCAGTGCCATCAGTGGAGAGCCAGCCTGGGGATTGGGGGAGTGACTTAACTGCCTGGATTTCCATTTAAAACAGAATAATTGATTTAGAATTACTCTTGAGACCTCTGAGCTCCAGCTCTAGTGAGGCGTTACATTTTTTGTTTGTCTTTTTTATTTTCCCCCTGATATTGGAGCTCCCAGTTTAAAATCTTCAAGGTGAGAATGTTAGAAACAACGCCGAAGAGGAGACGGAAAACATTATTCCTTGGTTATATTTGAAATAAAAAAATTTTGAACAATTTTATAATTATGATGACAGTGATAGCAAAGATGAAATAGCTTTATATTAAGTTATTATTTTATATCGGGTTAAACAAAGTCACTTATTTTACATTCTTCTCTGCTATTTCCCCTCCTGAGAATTCAAGTTTCAAAAATAAAGCCTGTTTTCCTTTGAATTCATCCTTTTACCAGGAATCCAGTCAATACTCATGCAAATGATGATGTGTTTCCAATTTTGGGGTGTGTGTGGTGAAGATGATCCCAGTTTTATTTATTTTTAAGTAAAACAAATACATTAAAACCTTTTAGAAAATTAAAGCATAGGCAATGCCATTGTTGGTGTTGCAATGTGAAACAGTTATACACTGTCATGAAATTGGAGTTTCATGCATTTTATGCAATAAGTAGTCCCAATGTACAGTTATTTTAAAAATAAATATGATAATGTTTACACCTAAATAACACCTCCTCTAGTTTGAGCCATTTTCATAATGTAAGGCTACGATGCTAATTCCCAGATTGATTTTTAACATGTGTTATTTCTGTGAGATCTCCATTGAGATTAAGCATGTGGCTGACAGTTGTGATGGAAAAAACTGACTCCTGGGCATTCTTGGCACATTGCAAGCACTCCCGGCGCAGCCCCTGTGTTCCAGGCACTGGGCTTGACTCAAAGATGGTCAAGCCCAAGTCCTGCTCCCACAAGAGCTCCCGATCTGGTGGACAGGAGAGACAGTCAGTGGCTTACGGTCACATCTCTCCTTGCAGCTGCGCCTCATGGCGGGACAGTTTCCCATGTCTGAAAATAGCCACCCCACCTGTCTTTCCTTGCTGCATTCCAGGCTGCAGCATTTGCTCTTTTTCTTGCTGAACAGACCACAATAACATTCATGACATGTGTAGATTTTTATTAATTCCAAAACCATTATACATTCAAAATCTCAAAAAAGGCAAATGTTGAGGCATTACGAAATTCATGATCAGTTAAAAGTTTTAGAGTAAAGATAATGAGAGAGGTTGGGAATTTTATAAAAAATTCTGTTTATAAAAGAAAAAGTAAGATCTCTTTAAAATACAGAATGTTAAAAGAAATTTATTACAGCAGTATGCAATCTACACACTAAAATTGTTTTGAAATCCCACATTTCAGTGAATTATGGCAGTTTATAAATATCTGCAGACAGAACATTTCTCCTGTATCTAATAGAATAACTTACTTGAAGCTATGCCTATGCCATTCATTCATTCATTCATTGTCAGTAAATATTTATCACGTACCTACTGTGTGCTAGGCAGTGGGGTGTTACCAGAAAACAAAATAAAGCTCCTTGTGGAGCCTTAAAACTCAATGATTTTGGGGGGTAAAAAATAAGCAGTGTGTGTGTGTGTGGTGATAAGTGCTAATAGAGAAAAACCCAACAGCACAGGGAATAGAGAACAGCAGAGTCTCTATGCTCTTTTTTTTTTTTTTTTTTAAATATACCCTTATTGATTTCAGAGAGAGGGAAGGAGAGGGAGAGAGAGAGATAGAAACATCAATGATGAGAGTCATTGATCGGCTGCCTCCTGTACGCCCCCGACTGGGGATCGAGCCCGCAACCCGGGCATGTGCCCTGACCGGGAATCGAACCCCGATCGCCTGGATCCTAGGTCGACACTTAACCGCTGAGCCGCGCCCGGCCAGCTCTGTGCCCTTGGATATAGGGGTGTTCTAGCTGGTGCCTCTGATGAAGTCACATGAGGCTTCTGTTCGGCTGGGCCTCCCCTGGGCTCCCTCTGCCCTGCACCTCCGCGTGCTTGTTCACACGGCTCTTGGACACCCTTCTCTGCTTCAATTCACTCTCATTTCATCACCCACTGACCTAGCATCAGAGTTGGTTCCCATAAATCCTCTGTTTTCACCTAACACTTTCCACCTGATAATTTAGCATCATATGCTTCTGGCTTTGGTGACTCAGTGTCTAAGCCAGCTCTTTGAGTTTCCAGTTCATTAATTGGGTTTACCATCACTAACATATAAGCATCTCTAACTTTTAAACTGAGTTTCTTTCAAGTGTTTGCTTTTAAGACTTTTGGAACAGTTCGTTTACATTAGAACTTTGAAAAGAGGGAGAAATATTCTGACCAGAAGCTTTTCTTTCCTATTCTCAACAACCCCTCAGTGTAGACACAGCTTTTATGCATGGAATAATTGCACACTTCCCTCTGAAAAGACCCAATTGGCCTCCAGTTTCTCATTCTAGGACAGCCTGATAATAGACTTATAAAGACAGAATGTTCTGGAAGATGTCGTGTTGGCTCTTGTAGCATATTACAAGTATTAGGGAGCGATGGCACAGGTAATAACATGGGTTTGATATTTTCATCTTTACTTCTTGACCTTGAGGGGAGAGTGAGAAATTCTATTTATGGAATACCACAATACTGTGATTTTTAAATCAGAAGAAGCCAGGAATGTTAAAAAGAGATGAAAGATTTTTATTTTGGAAAAGAACAACCAATTTAGAGTTTTATTCTTTACATTATGAGCCAAAGAGTGGAGAAAGTAGATATTCATAGATAGTCAATGCCCAGTATGATAGGTTAAAAAAGCAATTTTAGAAAATGTAACTGAACAAGTACCACTCTTTTTTGTGTGTCAGAATAAAATTGTCCCATGCTAGTGTAGAAATAACAAAGGAAACAAATGCTTTTAAACATTGCTCTGATGGGGGGAAAATAGAGCATTTCTATTTATAACTTGTCCAGAGTCTCACATAAAAATAGCTCCAACTAACAGATTTGCTCATATCTGGAATACAGCGTTGCTGCTGCCAGGGACTTGAAGGATTCTAGTAAGAACCACGGCGCATTGGTAAATACTGAAAGTTTATCATGTTTCCACTACCCCAGCTTTCACGTGGGGAGAAAATTAGCTCATGGAACAGTTCTGGCTTCTGTATTACACACTGTGTTATTTTCCAGGCTATTTGTCTTTGTTTTTAATGAAAAGGATGCATTTGCACCCCTGGAACTTACCCCGTGAGGTGCATGTATTAGTGATGATTGTATTTCTGTCCGTGAAATGTTTGTCAGGCTAAGAGATGTAACATTTTATTCTTCTAGAGACTAATTTTGTGTGATTGGTGTGACGGCAAAAATGTTAGGAACCTCAGAAATTCATGAAACTGTTCTTTCTCTCATTTTCAGCGGAGCTTCCTGGGCTATGCCAGTTTTAAAGTGGGGGAACTACTGAGGTCAAAGGAGCAACTGCTAGCCCTGAGCCTGAGGTGGGTCTGTCAGCGGTGGTGTCGTTAAAGTCACTAGCCCATGATATGTACTGAAGGCCGGCTGGGTTCGACAGTCACAATTCTTGCGTATGTTTAAATGTCAGCGCTCAAATGGCTCACATTCTCCGTTGCAACAAGTTATACTGCAACAGCAATTGTTCAGGCCCATGTTTCAGATGGTCCAAGTTTATCATCTCTTGTAGGAAAAAAAAATATTGCACTGTCATTAAAGTGATGACATTTTTTGAAAGTAGGAAAGCAATGGAAATGATGAGCAGTGTTATGAAATAATTTTTGTTACTTATCAAAGTGTTACTTTTTAAATCAAGAACATTTCTAGGATTGAAATATATTGGCTAGAGGCAACATTGCAGATTTTTTGGTGCTGGAGGGTAAATTATTTGCTTTTTTAAAGCTTATTTTGTTGCTATACTCTTAAATATACAACATAAGTTAAAGTAGACTCCTGTTGAAACAGAGGATAGATAAGAGCTGATTTTGACTATGGGGACAATTTCACTTGATATAGGAGATGAGATAATCTTCAAGAAGTTCCATAGTGTTATAATGCTAAGAAGAGTGTTAAAAAATAAATATTCCTTTTAACTTATCATATGAAACAATAATATGTTGGTTTTTAACTGTATAATAACTTTTATAATTATATGTACATGGAGAATACTGCCTTGCAATATTTGTATAGTATAAATTAATATAAAAATGGCATAAAACCTTACTTGTAAATGTAAGACGCTCTTTTTTTTTTTTTTTTTTTTTTGGAAAAATAGAG